TAATCACAATATTTCCATCATCCAATTTAGGAGAGATAAATGCGCAAATCGTCACAATACCCGCATTTGGATACATACACCCATTAACTTCAACTCATTATCGGCGGATCACGATTCTCAACTCATATAATAACCCACCATGAAAAAACTCTGGTTTTTTGACAACAATGACAAAATCAACGCCATTCATAATAGAAGACGGTATTTCTGTTTCTGACTCGCTTATGCCGTCCCTGGTAGTAATTTCTGGTGGAACTGCTTGCAACTTAATAGTAAGTGATCAATGATTATAAAAAAAAAAATTACGATTGTAATAATTGGTATATACTTACTATTTTGTTTTTGAAGGTTAATACCCTGCAAGATATTACCACAGACGTGAGTTATGTACTTGGCTTGAGCGATAATGGTGGCTCAACTAGCGAAATTTTACGTGTTCTGGGCGGACCAGGGATCGGAGATATTAGAAGTAGATTAGTTAGATTAATTAAAGTCAAGAAAGGGGATTACCAAAAAGCGGCTATAAAAAATTTGCTTAGTTATCGGTTGCCTGTTGAGGGAAATGAGATAGACATAAGAAATGAGTGGCTAGAAGTGGTTGAAGGGACTCATAGGTATGTTGTTTTATGGATTTGAGTGACGCCAAGGGGGAAATCAGACTTTAGGCTTTCAAGTTTTATTATTTACTATTTATTAGACTCAACTTCGATCAGAGACATATATGATACGTAATTAAAATTACTTATGTACCAGAGTCATGCAAATAAACTTGAAAACTTGAGGTTTGGTTTTCCCCTGGCATCACACATTTATCACTATTATGTTTTCATGATGCATAATAAAGTATTTATATATTCGATCTACTTCAAGTCTTTGGCGAAATATCCCTTCAGAAATAAAAGGAACTCTACGTGGATTCTTGGTACATTTTCAAGCTGAACTTCTAAGGAGAGCACATAAGAAATTCGACTTTCGCAATGGTAGTATTGGCAATTTTTTTCTTAGTGGAGCGCGACTTTTTTGTGGATCGTTAGAGAGTGCAATTTTTTTATTTGCAGCAATAACGGGAATCAGTGAATCGACAAGAGTGATCCCAATAATTAATACAAATAATAGTGTGGCTATCGCAGCGGAACTTGATAATGGAACTATAATAACAGGTCAATGTGAAATTTCACATCCATCTCAAGAACCACACAATTCGCCTCCGATTGCTGATAATGCATATGAAAATTTCATGTGGCAAGATTCACCCACCGAAACTTTTAATTCTATGAAAATTGTTTCGCGAAGTAATCTTATTTTCGACAAATCAAAAGTAGTCACATTGAATCGTCGAATTCATCGAATTTATTACATTAACGAATATGGACAGGAGATATTTCCTTCCGTAAATTCAAAAGTACTTAAAACTCTTTCAATGAAATTAGCGCTCATTTATTCTATCGGCTCTTTATATACGTCTATTATGCCTTGCCTTATCCTTCGTGGAGTTGGTAAAGCAATAGCTGAGTCTACCACATTAAAACACAAAATTCTGATTCTCAATGGCTCAAATGATCGCGAAACTGATCAATTCACAGCTTTAGATTTTATAACAACTATTGTAGATGGATGTAATTCTTCGTTGAGATTTGATGGATTTTGGCCTAAAGAATATCCTGCAAAGAAATACATAACACATTTGATTTACTTGGACAATTCATTTATAAAAGTTAACGTACTAGAAATTGAAAACTTAGGAATAGAATGTATAAGAGTAGAAGGTACATTTCAAGATGGGCAACCTGTATTTACCGAGAAATCTCTTGATTATGTTTTAAATAACATTATAAGATAGCATATATACATAGATTTTTTCTAAATTTATTTATTTTATGAAACATCTATCTTCATTAATAATTGAGTTCCTAGTATTCACATTTTTAGCAAGAAAAAAAAAAAAATAGCAATAAACCATTTTACGTGGTCTAGTTTGGATATTATGTCCTATTAGTATATAAATATTAAGTATATAAGTATTAATACAATATACTTTTAGTCAAATCATTAATATTGTGTGACTTTTTTTACATCCAAAGTCCAGGTCCAGGTCCGCAAAGTCCTTTAGATTTTTGTTTTGAAGGATCAGTTTTTTCTGAAGATGGTATGGTCGTGTTAATTGTCGCGACCAAATCAATTATAATTGATGAATTTTTCTTATTAATTCCTGTATCATTTTTTCCATCATCAATATTATCAATGTCACCGATATCAGTGTTATCAATATTGTCAATATTATCCTTTGTCGTTGGTTTTCTTGTGATTTGACTATAAATTGGTGGATCTCGAATATTTTTGTTACATTCAAGTTTTCTTTCTTGATTTTGTCTTATACAAATTCCTTTCCTTTTTTTTAATTTAGAATATAAGGAATGTGATTTTGGATAAGTTGGTTTATCATCTTTAATTGTAGCATTTGATTGAGGAATCTCAATCATGGCATGTATGACAACTGTAGTATTTGTTGGTACGGGAGACTGTTCATAATTTTCATTATAATTATTCGATCCAGGAAAAAAGTGGTTTAAATAGGTGAATCCTAAATCATCTATTCCATCATCATCTATTCCATCATTTATTCCATAATCATCTATTCCATCATTTATTCCATAATCATTTATTCCATCATTTATTCCATAATCGAATCCATTTGATAATTTTGATGTTTGGAAATTATCAAAAGTATTTGAAGGTTGAAAATAATAAGGAATTGAATTTGATGAGATCTTTGATCTTTTTTCGTAATTCGCAACGCAACGATTATGACGATTGTTTTTGTTTAAAGTTGGAATTCTTTTATAATATGTAGTAGGATAGGAAAGTATAATTCTGATATTTATAGAGAAAATAAAAAATAGGATAAAGGACGAAATTGATATAATCATCTTTAATTTCTTTAATTTCTTTAATTTCTTCAAGTAGAGGATAATTATTTCTGAACGGTATATATAGATATTATATATATATATATAGGTAATTAATATAAATCATTAAATTTTATTAATCAACAACAAAATTGATATAAATTTGATCACGATTTATTTTATTACCGTTTTGATTAATTAAAAACATCTATAAAAAAATTATTGATGCGTGTAAAACAATTTATTTAATCTAAAGTACAGTATGTGCATATACAAATATAACTACATTTTAAAAGTATTCAATCTATAAAATATATATATTAAAAACTAATTTTAGTGATTACGATCAATTCTTTTTTTAAAGATTGTAATTACGAATAGTAAATATCTATAAAAATTTTTTTTTCTAAAAAAAAAAACACCCATTAATTATATTACTTTCATAACCAATATGTATAAATACGTTTATATTTGGGTATATAATTCTAATATCGAGTTAAAGCCATTCTTCTTCGTGTTCTAATTCGATCACGACGATTATAACCATCATGTATTAATTCCTCTTCAC